AAGAGAAGGAGGTTGCAGTTGATCATCACTGGACCAGTGCATTCCAGACTGAAGGACCAGCATGTGTAAAGACATTGATGTATGAACCAATATAACCTTTTAACTGAAAAATTCCATTTTGTGAGCACACAGTGTGTATGGGGTGGGGGATAGGACTAGTGGAAGATGAGCTTTTAATAGCCAGGAAGGGGACACACCATAACGATCTTATCCAATATGTGAATTTTAAGCAGAGGAATGGCAAATTTATGTTGCAAAAAGATTACTTTGGTATCAGAATGGAGATGGATTAAAATGAGGTAATATCAAGACTGAAACTAGTCAGGAAGCTGTTATATTACATTATACTGAGAATATGAGGGCAGACGACTTGAAAAACAACAGTAGAGATGTGGATAAGGGAATTAATTTAAAGGATATTCAAAAAGTAAAATACATGACACACATCCCACCCAACTGTCATTCCCAACTCCCTCCCTTTCTTACTGACAACTTACCAGAAAGGGCAGAAAAGCTAGATACCCACTTTCTCAGCCTCATCAGAGTCACGTGTGGCCCAGGGACAATCTCTTGTGGGGCAAGGAGGGCTGCCTCTGGGAAAGCATTTCATTCTTCTTTCTTCCCTCACATACTGCTGAATGAAGATACTATGTTTGGTGCAACAGCAGCTATTTTAGAACTATAAGTGAATAAACCAAGGACAAAACCCAACATGCAGAGGATATCAGAGTAGGAATCACAAATCTTGGTCCTTCATGTCATAGTTAAGCTGCTGAACCCACCCAGGCAGGGACCGTGTATTTCTGGACTAAGTATCCTCCCAGTTTAAGGTACTTATTGTCACGCTCTGTTACTTTCAGACAGAATCAGTCAAACTGAAACAATTAGAGAGGGTCTGGTGACTGACTGTGAAGGGTTTATAATAAAGAGGGATTTAGGTAGATTTACTCCCAGGTTTCTGGCATGGGAAAGTAAGTAGAAGATGCCAGTTACCAAGAAAGAACAAAACAAAAGAGGTGTTTTGTTTTTCTTTGGAAGGTGAGGGTGATGAAGTTGGAAGAGAAGGGAATTCCGGAAGGAAAATTTGTTCCTGGATGTGTTGCTCTAGAGATACTTAGACAGTCATGTAAGTACAGAGGTCCAGTATATTTAGATCAATGAGTCTGCAACTCAGTGAAAAATCTGAATTAGATCTACAAATACATGGGAGATCACAGCTTACCATTCTTTCGTGACCTCACACTCTTGGAAGAGTTTAACTGACAGAAGGGTCAAAGGAATGGAGTCCAGACAGAAAAAAATTCATTTATTTGAAAATTCCTAGAAAGCGTTTCTTTACTATTAAGACTCTAAAGATATATAGATACTGCTTAAAATAAAAAAAAATTTATTGATAAAATGTGTAAACATTTATACAACTATATATTTTTATTTCATAAAAACTAATAAAATCAACTTGACGGCAGTTGAGTTTTTTTTTTTCTCAGTTGGACAATGAAGATCTTATTAGCCTTGTGCTAAACTGACACCAGAAATTTGTGCTGGTAATTGAAATGCATCTGAATCACCAGCTTTACTATGCATGCCAGTAATTAGGAAAATGTGACTAAAATTCTAGGACATGTTTTATTGGTGGTTGTTGTTGTTGTTGTTATTTGCCGTCGAGTCGGCCCCGACTCATAGCGACCCCTCCTTGGGTTTCCGAGGCAGTATCACTACGGAAGTAGGATTGCCCAACCTTCCTTCCGAGGAGTGGCTGGTGGGTAGACTACCCTAAAGTACAAAAAGAAACATAATCACTGAGAAGGCAGCAAGCAGTAATTTAGCAGCATTATACATGATTGAAGAGAGTCCTGGTGGTGCAGCGGTTAAAGTGACTGGCTGCTAATCAAAGAATTCATGGTTTAAACCCACCAGCCATTTTGTGGGGAAAGATATGTCAGTCTGTGTCCTTAAAGATTTACAGCTTTAGAAACACTATTGGGCAATCTATTTGTCCTATAGGGTCGCTATGAATTGGAAGTGACTCGGCGGCAATGGGTATACATGATTAAGAAAGCTTTTGAGAATTAATACTACTCCTCCATGAGAAGGAAGCTAACACAGGTGACCTCAATACAATTACCTTCATACATGTAGCAGTTATGAAAGAACAGGAATCATTAGCAGCTAACTACCCAACCTAGTGAACAGGAAAGCATGGAGCAAGTGACAGTCTCACAGGCAAAGAGGTACAAGGACATATGGCAAGAGATCCCTATAAACAGTGATTACAACCTCAAACCAAAGGTTGACTTTCATGTTTATGAAGTTTCGACTAGATGGCTCATGAGATGGCACAGATGACAGCAATCCTCATCAAAGGCATCTGTGAAGAATAGAAGTATTACCAAAGATAAAAGGAATTTATTCTTGGCATCAAGAAAAAAATGTTTCAAAAACTAAAACTGACTTGAGAAAAATGAGTATAACAAAGAAAAATTTGGTCTTAATTTGGCCTTCATACTAAACATAATTAGGAACACTGCTCTCCTACATGGAAACTTTAAATGGCTCTCCCAGGCCCCAGTTCTTCACTCAAGCTCCCATGTAAAAAAGTGCTAATCAAACTTTTAGTTTTGTTTCCTTTCATGTACCTAATTATACTGGATCAGGGGATAGTTCCCAAATCCACCCTATGCTTTCCTACGCCTGCCATTTTGCTCAGGCTTTCTGTCTGTGAAATCTTATAAGTTCTTCAAGTTTCATGCCTTGTATCTTTTCCAGTATTTCCTGATCCTACAATCACATGTAGTCTTCTTTATTTCTCTTCTGCTCTATCAAAATCATTCTATTCTGTCTTGAATTCTTGTTAATATTTTTTACTTCCCACACTATATTCCAAATTCCTTAAGAAAGAAAGGAAAACTAATTTAAATTTATGGCTTACAAGGAATCAAAATTAAGTAAACAATTTTAGGTTCCGGAAATAGTGACATAAAACAGACCAAAAGCCCTCAAAAGAATGTATGAAGGAAGTTTATTAGAAGTCTAAAACCTCAACTATATACCATCCTGATTAATATTCATCTATGGTCCTTCTCATCCTTTAACAGGAAAAAAGTAATATAAAAAATAAAAATGGGAATCACTCAGCAGCAAAGATAATCAGACTGTGATCTAGAAATTCTAGATCCTAGTTTTAGTTCTCTAGGCAGATCTTTTCCCCACCTGCTGTCTCTGTATCTACTTTACCAATGTGATATAACAATATTTTTTATAATAGATAAATATCCTTGGCATTTTTCATAACACTCCTGCTTTTAAAATATACTGGCTTGAGTATCATCGCTAGCCTTTCCATGTTTACAATTAGCACGAATTTTCTGATTCATTGACTATCTTATGCCAAAGAGTGTATTTTCAGATTTTTTTTTTTTTTTTTTTTAAAAAAAGGGAGAGAAAATTTCTCTTTTCCTCTGTCCTCACAGATTTCCTTTAGGCCCTGAAACCATGGCCTCTGGCCATCATATATTCATTCCTTCAGGGGTATTTATACAGAGGTTTAATAATCTAGAAGAAATGGCATACTATGCTTTCTCAGTAACACTTCATGAATTAAAAAAGTAACCCTACCCAGATCACTCTGGAAGGTGGGGGGATGCACAGAAACAGTACAAGGGCAATAAAGTCTTGAATGCCAAAAGTTCAAATCTAGAAAATTATTTAACAATGACATGGGCCAAAGACCTTGCAAAATGTCATGCTTTTCTAGGATTTCTAGTTTCAGATTCTTCTCCATAAATTTTTCTATCGTGCTTTTATTTTCCTCAATATATTAACTCACCTCCTTTCACCTTCACGCTCACATCAAAACTCAAATAGAGGCTTCATCTCAGGAAGTCCCTAGCCCTCCTGATATAATTCCCAGATATACAGCAGCGGAAATCCCTTTCTACCCAAGAGGCTACACTGTAAATTTAAAAACTTATAAGCAGTGCAAGGTGAAAAAGTTTAGTTTGGAAGTATTTGGTACACTTCAGAGATGTGAATGAGAACCAAGACTCCTGACCTGTAATGTTTGTCTTTAAGCCAACAAAAATGATGGGTAATTTTTCATTTGTCAATCCACTGACAAATTTTAACCACCACTGGGCAATGTAACCATCTATAAAACCACTCAGCCCAAAGCAAAGTAATCCGAGCACATATCTAAGTGAAACCACAATGCCCTACTGGTACTTTTTCCTGGAGTATTTCAATTTCAGTAAGACACCCAGTCCTTGGACTCAACTCGTAAGTTAGATGGCATAATGGACAAGTTATTCCCCTCTCTCTTCTGCTGTCACGTCATCTACCTGTTGCATCACCTGGAAAGTGGTCTTCAGAACATAGAAAAGGAGCACCATCATAATCTCTAAATAATTCAGAGGGCTATTTTCCTGATAAATTTTAGCCACATTCATTTTAATGAGGTTTCCTTGGAAGCAAAGAGTGTTGGCTCCTGCTTATCTTTAAAGAAATTCTAGAACAGGCACAGACAACTTGACTTTCTGGACTTACAGGGGTTTGAGAGTTTTTGAAGACTTGAGCATGAGAAGAGATGTGCCGTTCAGCTTAAGCACAGTAGCAGGGAGAGCAGACAGTAGGGGCGGGGGGACATGGGGCACCGGAGTACAGGTAGTGGGGGTGGGGAGAGCGACGGAAGCTTTGCGGAAAGGGCACTGCTCGTCCGCCTAGGGGTCGGGCCCAGCGCCAAGGTCCGAGCCATACTGAGGGCATGAAAAGAGGTTCAACCCGAGCCGACCCCTGGCCAAAGCCCTCGGGCTGACTGGGCAGCACTAACAGGAACGTCGACGGGTGCGAGGATTAAAGAATAAATTCTTCCCCTCCCCCCACACACACAGTGAACTAAGCTGGAGGCGGGTACGCCAGGCAGAACGCGCTAGTGGCTGGGTCCGAGTCCGACCGGCGAAAAGGATGCTGGCCTGGGCTAGGGGCCGCCAGGGGGCTGCACTCACCATGTCGTACACGTTGAGCACCACTAACTGGTTAGCCCCCATCCTCCTCCCCGCGGCCGCCGCCTCGTCCTTAAGCTCCGTCTCCACGGGGCCAGAGGCCGCTCCCAGCCCCGCCGGCGCTTCAGGAGGATTGCGCCCGCCACTAAGCGTTCAGCCCGGCCCGCGGGAGCCGAGGCAGGAACATCGGGCAGCCGAGCCGCTGCGTGGGGCCGCCGACAGGACCCTCCGCGCGGACGGGGCTGGACCCGTGACGGTCCGCTCCAGCTCAGGCACCTCCCCTAGGCAGCAGACACGTGGGGAAAGGCGGGGCCTGAGTGAGGGGCGGGCACCAGGCGCCCCGGGGGCGGGGCAGGCCCGGCGCCCGGCTGAGCCCGCCTGCGCTCTGGTTCTTGGCCGCCGCACCTCAGGACCTAAAATGGCGGTAGCTTCGGGTGCTTCTCCACCCAGGAGGTGGAGGATCCCAGAAAGACTACGGTTCCTAGCTTGTAGTGCGGATTCCCCGCTCGGTGCTTGAAGCGCGGAAGCGGAGTCTCAACAACTCTGGTCCCTCGTCGCTGCATTTTCTCAGCCTTCAACTACAGCTACTGCCGTACTGTGGCGGTCGGTCTTCTAATCCTGGCAGGCCAGGCCTCTCTGGGAGACTCCAGCTCCCAGAATGCAGCGCTTTGGACGTGCCACTGGATCCATTGCGAGTTGCCCTTGGCTGGCGGTGAAGTCTTCAGTCCTCCGACCTCTTCGATAGTGCTGCTTGCTGCTGCTGTTACTGTTTATGTAGTATTAAGCCTAATGAGCCAAACGAAATTTGACTAAAGACCATATTGATGACCCTAAAACTTCTAAATCCACCCTCACTAATTTTTGCAATGAGAAGGTGAGGAATTAGAGGAAGGATGGTTACAAGTGGGGCAATGGGGGTATAACATGCATCTTGTTAATTCATAATATGGAATTTTGCAACCTGTGAAACTATCCTGAGATGATAAGAGAGTACAGTACTCACAGATTAGCAAAACCCTAGAACATAGTAGGTGCTTTTGCACTCAACAAATATTTGCTATGTGCCTACCATATGTTAGGCAGTGTTGTAGGCCGTAGGGAACTCTGGGGTGTAGTGGTTAATGCATTGCGCTGCTAACCAAAGGGTCAGCGTTTAGAACTCAGCGGCTCCATGGGAAAATGATGAAGCGGTCTGCTTCTGCAAAGATTTACAGCCTTGGAAACGCTATGAAGCGGTTCTCCTCTGCCCTAAATGGGTCACTGTGCTTGAAAGCATTGGGTTTGGTTGTAGGCTCCAAGGATACAGGAGGCGGAACAAAATATCGCGTATATGTTCCTTGCAAAGAATTAAAATAAGGTGAAGTGATTGAGAGTAATTTTAGATTGGCAGCATCGGGTAGGTGTCTGATGAGGTGAGGTTTAAACTGATACATGAAAAAAAATTGACCTGCAAACAGCAAGGGGATAAGTATTCCAGCTAAAAGGGACAGCAAATGCAAAAATTTTGAGGAAAGAAGGTACTTGCTGTATTCAAGGAAACAATAGACTTCTGTGGCTGGAGCATGATAGGCAAGGGGGAGATGATATTAGAAGAGTTGAGCAAATGGGCATAAGCCCATGATAAAGTTTTTTAAAGTCATAATAACGTTTGGATATTAAGTGAAGGAGGGTTTGGGACCAGGGAGTGAAATGATTTTGTGTGTTTATGTAAAAGATTACTTTGGTTACTGTGAAAAATGGATTTTAGAGAGGCAGAGGTGGAAATAGGAAGATCAGTGTGGTAGATTGTAATAATAGCCACAAATTATTCCCATCTTCCCAAGTTATCCACACCTTTTGGTAGTGCCTCTTCACCTCCACCAGCTCTGTGCTAGCTTTGTGAATTGCTTTGGCCAATGGAACATTAACAAACATGATGTAAGTGGAGGCTTAAAAAGCACTTGTGAGTTGGTACTCACTCTCTTGCTAATCTTGGGAATCCTGCCCCATTACCAAGTGAATGAGTTTTAGTTAGCTTGATGGATGATGAGGGGCACATGGTCAAGTCATCACCTGCAACCTAACCAACATCTAAACAATTGCTGGGGAAGTGAGTGAGACCTTCCTAGACCATCCCGGCCTAGCCAAGCTGATCCTAACCAGAAGAACTGCCCAACCAACTAAAACAAAACCAAAAAACCAACCAACAGAATGTGAAAAATAATGTTGTTTGAAACCACAAAGTTTTGAGGTGGTTATATGGCAAAAGCTAACTGATTCAGACAATTAGGAAGCTATTCCAGAAGTGCATGCTAGAAAGTGACTTGGACGTTGTGGTAGTGGTAGAAACTAAGAAAATTAGATTTGGGATATTATGGAGTTAGTATCTATAGGACTTGCTAATGGGTTGAGTATGTTAGGGAGAGAGGATTCAAGAATAGCTACTAGATTTTTGACTTGGCCAACTGGTGAATGGTAATGCCATTATAGGTTGTGTAACTGGAGGAGCAGATTGGAAAGGCAGAAATCAAGAGTTATAGTTTGGTCATATTAAGTTCAAATGTCTTTTTAGACATCCATGAGATACCAACTAGGTGTTTGGATAAACACACGAGTCATAGCCATTATTAAAACCTTGTGACTGGCTGGATTTCCTAGGAAAATGTACAGCTAAAAAAATGACCAAAGGCAAAGCTCTAGGACCGTTCACCATTTAGAGGTCAAATACAGGAGAAAGAGGAAGCATTGAGGTGGGGAGAAAACTAGAAAGAATATGGTTAACAGAGGAGCCACAGGCTTGGATTCAGCAATATGGAGGTTACTGGTAGCCTTGTGATGAGTAGTCTCAGGGGAGGAGTGAAATAGATTGAAAGAACAGTTGGAATGGTTTGAGGAGCAAATGTAAAGCGAAGAAATGGAGATAAGTATAGGCAACTTGTGGCAATAGCTGGATAGGGCTGTGTGGTCAATTGAGGGCATTTTAAAGATCAAAGATTATGTGAAGAGAGATAAATTGATGTAAAAGAGGGGAAGAATTGCAAAGGCAAAATATTAAGGAAAAGGGATCTGGTGCACTAGTGGAGGGGTTGGCCTTTATCAGGAGAGTTCCTTCCTCCACAGTGATGGTATGGGAGAGAGAAGTAATGGATATACATGTAAGCAGGTTAGATATTTTGGGGTGGGGGAAATGAGGGTTCTTTTCTGATTTGCTTTGCTTTTCTTAATGGGTTATGAGGCAAGATCATTACTGGAGAGTGGACAGAGTGTAAGGGTATAGGGGGTTTGATGAGAGAAGAAGTTATAAAAGAGGAAATGAATACACTGTACTGGTTATAGAAGCAAGGACCTCTGGTGGCACAGTGCCTAAGGCATTTGCTAACCAGAAGGTTGGCACTTCAAATCCACCAGCTGCTATGTGGAAGGAAGATGGAGCAATCTTCTTCTGTAAAGATTTACCGCCTAGGAAACCCAGTGGGGCTCACTATGAATCAGAATCGACTCAATGGCAGTGAGGTTTTATTTTTTGTACTGGTGTTAATGGTTAAAGCATTTGGCTACTAACCAAAATGTTGTCATTCGAACCCACTTACTTCTGTGTGGGAGATGAGGCAGTCTGCTTCTATAAAGATTTATAGCCTTGGAAACGCTGTGAGGCAGTTCTACTCTGTCCTGGAGAGTCGCTATGATTTGATGGCAGTGGGTTTGGTTTTATTTTGAGGGGCAGGGGGTAACTAGGGAAATTTGGTTGAATTGCCAAGCAGTGTTGAATGAGAGGAAATGCTGTGTGTGTCATCTTTATTTGATTATCTTTAGGTTGTGGACAGAGTTCCAAAATTTGTTTTGGGGAATTTGACTGCTTTGCTTCCCTTTTCCAAGGGACATTCCTTCCCATCTATCCCAGTTGAACAAATTACCAAATGAAAACTAAATCAGTTGCTGTCAAGTTGATTCCAACTCATGGCAACCACATGTGTTGCAGCATGGAACTGTGCTTCATAGGGTTTTCATAATGGTGACCTTTCAGAAGTAGATGTCAGGCCTTTGTTCCGAGGCACAATGAACTGTTTACACTACTCAGGATTCCTTGAACCAATTACAGGTATGAAAAAAGGCACAATCCATTAACATCTCATATAGTACTGGCTGCACTACTCTGAGGGTGCAAACCACAGGTTCACGTCACTGTTTATACTCTCCCTTTGTCTATTGTGATCTTATCTACTGATAGCTGTAGCAATCACACATATGCTGAAGATTCCCAAGTCTATATCTCCACCTCCTTTCTCTCTTCTGGGTGCTAGGCCTATAAAATTTGCAATCAGGATATATTAGTTTCCTATAACTGTTGTAACAAATCACCATAGACTCAGGACTTAAAACACCACAGATTTCTTTTCTTATGGTTCTAGAGGTCAGAAGTCCAAAATAGGTTTCACTGGAGTAAAATCAAGGACTGCTGCACTCCTGGAGGCTCTAGGGGAGAATCCCCTTCTGTGCCTTTTTTGGCTTCTAGAGGCTGCCCTCTTTCCTTGGCTTGTGGCCACATCAGTCTTACCTCTGCATCTGTCATACCTCCTCTTCTGACTCTCATCCTTTCACTTACAAGGGCCCCTGTGACTACATTGGGCCCACTTGGATAATCCAGGATAATGTCCCCATTTAAAAATCCTTAATTTAATCACATCTACAAAGTCCTTTTTTGCCATGTAAAATAACACACAGGGTCTGAGGATAAGGACATGGTCATCTCTGGGATGGGACAGGGGTCTATTATTCTGCCTCTGACATAGAATGTCACATGGTCACTTCAAATTCAGCAGGTACAAAAACCAGGGCAAAACAAAATTTTATCATCTGATGATGGAATGAGTCATATTACTCATCCAATTCAGGTATTGATCCACTCACTAGTAACTGAAATTATCTGTCATTCATTCAGTCATTGAACAATTATAAATGAGTACCTTTTATGTGGCAGCCACTGTGTATCACTAGTCCATCTGTGATAAAAGACATGATTCCTGTTTAAAAGCCAGTGGAAGAAAGCAGAAAGAAAATACAAAAAGATCCATTCATAAATTTATAATTTAAGTTGGGTTAAGTGCTATAAAGGAGACAAGCAAGAGAATAACAGGAAGATTTATGGGTATGTTATAGATTGAATTGTGTCTCCCAAAAAGAAATATGGAAGTCCTAACCCCAGTACCTATAAATACATCCTGTTTGAAATAGTTTTCTTTTGTTATATTAATGAGTTTATCTTAGTATCT